ACATTTTTTGTAATGTTAAGAAAAAAACAAGTTATATAATATTAAAGAAAACGAAAGGGCACATTATTTAATAAACTAGTCTTTTCATTTTCTTAACATGACAAAAAAATTGGCTCATGTAACGTGAGGGATATAAATCCCCTCTTGTTTATATTCTTTTATTTTTTTAATACATTTAAAATTCTGTTTAATTTTTTTAATGAGGTGTTGCCCCCAAACTTCGCCATTAAATTTGCGGACATAAACAAAATTTCCTAGATCCACCACTGCACACACACACATATAAATATATGGAAAAATATTTATTCGGTCTCTAGAGATAAAGTTATATCCAGTGAGCCCAAAATGATGTCGTTTTGGGTAGTAAGATGAAGAAATTATAATAATAAAGACAAATATAACCATAAATAAATTGAAATTATAAAAATACATTTTTCTCAACCTCAAAACGATGTCGTTTTGAGCTCATCAGAGATAACTTATCTCTATATACTGGAGAAATGCTAAACTCACATATATATGTGTGTGTGTGTGTGTGCTTTAATATTTCTGCAATGAAGGCAGATAAATTATCTACGTTCACTCTCAAAACGACGTCATCTTGGGTTGAAATATTAAGAAATTATAATGATAAAGATTGTTATAACCTTTGAATAAATTATAACTACAAAAATAACTTGATTTTCGTTTCAAAACGATGTCAATTTAGGCTCAGTGCAGGTAACTTATTTGCGTTCACAGCAGAAAAAATAAACTCACACACACACACACACACACACAAATATATATATATATATAGGCAAAATTATTTCTTCAGTCACTTGACGTCAAAAAATGACAGGTGTATGGTTATGATTTTTCACATTTTGTATGGTTACGACTCCCTACATTTAATGCTGCCACCTATACATGGTAAATAATTCACTGGTGGACGTTAAGCGGCTGAATAAATTTTAAACTCTCTCTCTCTCTCTCTCTCTATATATATATATATATAAACATGAAGGTTATAATCCCCAAACAAGAAGAGAAAGAAAACTTTAACTTAACATAAAAAAATAGTAATCAATTTAATGATATAAAAACACAAAAATATAAGCAGTAAATAATATGTGTTTCTTTCTTAGTACTTGTACTTGCATTCCTGGCATGCAGCCACTAAAATTGTTCCCCGAGGGACATTCCTAATTAATTAAAAAATGTATCTCCAAATTTATGTTTATAGTTGCGGACATTGGCAAGTGAGTAGGTTCGCCAATGTGTGTGTATATAATAATTTATTAAGTTAAAACTTACCTTTTTTTAGGGTTTTGCTACTCTTCTTTCAGATAAGATAGTTATCTTATGTTGTAGAGAGAAAATGTGTAGGGCTCACCATTACAAGAAAAAAAGGTGGGGCGCGAAAATCAAAATGAGAGATCATGAGAGAAGTTATCTTATGTAAAAGGAGAGTAATATTTATTTATCCTTTTTTAATGCATTAATATTTAAATAAGTAAAAAATACATATAATTTATTATATAAGGATCTTAAATGGAGGAAAATAAAAATATATTGATATAATAATATATTCATAAATTATTTATTATAATAATATTTTGTTAATTTTAAATAAAATAATATTTTCATAACATTTATCTATTTAATTTTTGTATGAATTTTTTATAATAATATTTTAATTTGAATTATGTTATTAATTAGGGGTGTTCGCGGTCTGGATTGGATCAGTTTTGGAAGAAAAATCATCTGATCCAATCACTTCGGTTTGTTCATGTAATCATCCATTCGGTTTGGATTTTTTGCAAATCCGATCCGATCCAATTTTTTTCGGTTTGGATTGGATCGGTTTTCGGTTTTTTGAAAATCCTAAAATTTGTTTCATGATTATTGTGCAAATAACATCTTTTTTATATATTGATTTGTAAATTTATTTATTTTTTGAAATACAAAAGCATCGATAGACGATAATGTAGGTTTTTTTTTTGGCAATGAGATATGAAGCATCAATAGACGATAATATAGTTTTTTTTTTGAAATATTATTGATGAGATGTGACTAGGTTTTTTTTCTTGGGTTTAGTTGATAGGTTAATAGGTATTGGGTTTAGAAATTTTTGGGTTATAATTAGGAAAAGGCCCAAGTAAGTAGAAGGGAATTAATATATTGGATCGATTTGGATTGGATCGGTTTTCATCAACCCATCCGAAAACCGACCCAATCCAATTAAAATTTGCGGTTTTTTTTTCGATTTTCCGTTTTTCAATTTTCGGTTTGTTCGGTTTTCGATTTGGTCACCGCGGTTTAGATCGGTTGATGAACACCCTTATTATTAATATTGATACCATGTACTTCTAAATTTTTTTAAATATGTACATAAGATAACAAGGTAAATATAAATCATACCTAATATATGATGAGATAATTTTTATTTAAATTTTTATTTTTTTATTAAAAGTTAACTTATTTTATTAAATGAAATAATATTTTTTAAGAAATAACTAGAAAGTAATTAAATTAATAGTAGATGTTTTTACCAAAAACAAAAAATAAAAAATAAATAGTAGATGTTTCAATTTTTTTAGCCCAAAGTTTAGAAACAACTAGTTGTTTGGAATTACAGATAAATCGAATTGATTTAAAAATAAAATTATATTTGTTTTATTCGGATTGAAATCAGGTTTACATATATAGATAGAGATTGTGAGATCCATATTTTTTTATTATTTTAAAATAAGTGTGAATTATTAAGAAACTTCATAAGACTTAATTAATTATTAATTAAATGGGGGAGAGGATCGAACCTGTGACACGGAGGCTTTGATATCATGTAAAGAATCAATTCAAACTAAAAGCTTAAGCTAACGGGCGAGGTTACATTAATGATTTTATATATCTTTGATAATAACATAATCTAACAATTTTCCTATAACATTATAATTTTTTCACACACACACACACATATATATATATATATATGGGCTTAACATTTCTGCAGCAGCCGTAGATAGTGTTATCTACAGCTGACACAGAAAAGTGGACCCCACGACTTTAAAAAAAAAAAAAAAAACTCAGGATCCGTTACCGTATCCTAGGATCCGGACGCGGATCCTTACTTGCTGTAGGTACAACAGCTGCAGAAATTATTTTGCCTATATATATATATATATATATATAAACTTTAAAAAACATACTCTATTATTAATGCAAATAAATAAGAATGGAATGGACACGAATTTTTTGCACTTACAAGAAACGGCCATTTTCATATATTTAAGTGGAGATATCATTTTCATCTTTATTTTTTAGTGGTTGTGACATCATTTTCGTCTTTAATGATATACAATTTATATGAAAAAATAGAATCCTCGTGTATCAAAGGCGTTCCGAATTATTTGAAAAAAAAATATATTTGTTGGGAGCATAGCAATATGGATAACAATCGAGAAGTAATACTTCAACGGGTGTTATTAAATTTGATCCGGGTATAGATTTAGAGGTGGTAATATTGGTTGAGCTCGGCGAGTAAACCCGCCAACCCGTCAACGCACTAAAACGAGATGGGTTGGGTTGAGGTTTTTAACCCACTAATCCACTTTAACCCGTCCTGCCTAGAAGTGGGTCAAAACGGGTTCAACCCGTCGGGTTATAATTTTTGTTTACAATTAGATAATATTTCATTTGTCATTAAAGTTTTGTGATAACCAATTTTTTTTATCTTAGTACTTTTTAGAAAAAATAAAGAATAATAATTTCATTTATGACAAATGTTATCTATATATGGAGATAAATGAGTTCCTAACGAATGTTTGACAAATATTAGTATACATTTAAGATTCAAATTGAAAAAAGTTAAGAGAAGAGTGAAATAAAATAAAATAATATTAAAAAATTTATAAAATATAATTTATTTTTGAATTTTAATTAATTTTTTTAATTGACGGGTTGGTGGGTTGACCCGTCAACTCACCATAAAACGGGATGAGTTCATTTTCCCAGCCTATATTTAATGGCGGGCCAACCCGCCCGTCCTGTTTTTGGCGGGTCGGGACAGGCCAACCCAAATTGCCACCCCTATTAATAGACCCGGTTGAGATATTGAGTTACTGGTTAGATTGGTGGGTTATTGATCAGACCAGTTGATCTGGATATATATATATAAATATATATAAATACGAACATATAAATTTAATTATATTCTCTACATATATCCAATCACACTTTTACAAGTTCATAAAGTATAAATAAATGAAAATGCATACTATTACTATATCAATTTAAATTATAACTGAGAGCCCCCCTAAGCATACTCTAATTGACATTCAAAATGTTAGATGTTGTGAACTCATATTTTTCAAATTTATTTATATTAAAATGACATATGTTACATTCTCTTAATTTATTGTTCCACAAATTGTTTAAGTATTAGAAAGTGAATTTTGATGTGATGAGTATATTAATAACAAATAAAATTACAAACTTTTTAAAATGAGTTTTACATTTTTTTTGACAATATGAAAAGTTTTGATTTTTGGTAATTTTTTTATTATAAAAAATGCATGACCCTACTAGATCACCGAGTCACTTGGTCATCGGTTTGATCGGTTTTGGCAAGTTTTGATCGGATCTGATAGATGACCGATCTAATTCTTGACTTAAACCGGTCTGATGATCGTTTCTCGACCCAGATCCGTAGATAAGATTTCTTACAACAGACAGTGAAATCCACTCAATTTTTATTTTTAAAAATCAGGATCCATTTACGTATTATGTTTTACATCTCCCTTTATTATACAGGTGAAAATAAGAAGAACATTTGTATTAAAAAATAAAATAAAAAATAAGAAGAACATTTATTATTAGGAATATGATATTATCGTTATGGCTATTTTTACCTTAAAATATAAGGGGTGTTGTTACATTTGGTGCCAGGTAAAAAAAGCTGGAAAAGTGAATATGAAATTAACCTGATTAACAAGGAAAGAAACGTGGTCGTGATTAGAGAAGATATTGTACAAGAGAGAGAAAGGGTGAGAAGAAGGGGAAAGTCTCTCTGAGGTTGTATTTCCCTTGATCCACTGTCTTGTCTCAATCAATCGAATTCGCAGCAGAGAGAGAATGGGAGAGGTAGCGCGTGGAGGTTGTTGCCCTCCGATGGATCTGTTCCGTTCGGAGCCGATGCAACTGGTTCAGCTCATCATCCCTATTGAATCAGCTCATGTCACTGTCTCCTACCTCGGCGACCTTGGCCTCGTTCAGTTCAAAGATGTCTGTACTCTTCAATTCCTCTATTTCCCCCTGCGATAAACCCTTGCTCACTTTCGATTTTTTTCGTAACTAGTTTTAATTAGGTTTTCTCCTTTCGATTCCTCACCTGATGTGTTTTCTCTGCTTATTGATCTAAAGAAGCTCCAATTTTTTTTTTTGTCGTACTTAATTGGCGTTTTTCTGAGTAGATGCCTAAACTTATTATTATGATAATTTTTCATTAGAGTAAATTAGTTAATTGGACATTATCGCGGTGCTTCTCTCATCTTTGGTAATTGAATGGTGAAAGTGTTATTTGATAATATAATTTTGACACTAGAACGCGGCGGCAGCTGGAATGATTTTATTCATCATAATATCGCGAACAGTTTTATTTATTTTAATTCTTGAAATTTTGGTTTGTGTTCGTGTTTAATCGAGTTAAAAAGGACTTTGGAGATTGGATGGAGGAAAATTGATTATCCTAACAACGAATTAAGCAAGCCTGTTTCTTAGTTTCTCTAAATTGAAGCATGATGATGTGCTGCCTTGAGAGGTCTTTCTAAGCATAATGTGTTCTTCCCCATGTTATTTTCAGCTCAATGCAGAGAAGAGCCCTTTTCAACGGACTTATGCATCTCAGGTGCGTTTGTTTTCTGCTATCATAAACCACTGCTTCTGGAATCTGGACATAATGCTGCTGTTGTAGTCAAGTTTTATGTAAAAGTTTTGCATTGGAAATGATTGTTTTGAATGATAATAATTAAGGCCTATCAATTATTGCTGGCCTTGTCTGCACTATATGCCATCTAGCTGCTCCAAAAAATCTTTTGGAAATAAATTAGTAATCAGCTGACTCAAGCCAACCATTTCTGCAGAATTTTTTTAAATTTCTCTTTATCAGCTCTTGCTTTTGGGCATGATTTTTTTATTTGAAAAAGCATACTGTTTGGTCTTTTTGTTGCACAATTTTTATCATATCACTTTGATTACGGGGCAAAGAATTGTACATAGGGATGGCTAAGGTAACAGAGAAGTGAGGGAGGGAAGAGGAGGGGGGGAGAGATCTTACCTGGATGGTGGATTGTGGACAATTTTAAGATTTTTCCTTTGGAGTTATTTTTTCTTGCACAGCTTTTGCTGCTTTTATTGATAGTATGGTTGGAGCATAACTTGTATATTTAAAAGGAGGTTTCTTTTGCATGACAGCTGATTTGGGGTAAGAGTGTGTGGCATCTATTTGGTGTAAAGTACATGGTCTTTTTAAGGAGGTTTCAACAGATATGTTGAGGGGTTGGGCAGCTTTTCTCCCTTGGTGTTTTCTTTCTTCTCTGTTGTTTGGTGTTTTGCTCTCACGTTAAAGATTTGTTTTCTTCAAACTTTTTGTTTTAATGAATTTCTCCTTTTATCAAAAATATTGATATTATGCTGTTGGATTTATTTGGGAATAAATATTGGTCCTTATGAAGATAAAAAGATGCGGAGAGATGGCTCGTAAATTGCGTTTTTTCAAGGAGCAAATGTTGAAGGCAGGTGTTTCACCAAAATATTCCACAACACCGGCTGATGTGAACTTTGATGACCTTGAGGTACGTGAATATGTTTGTGGACAAAGTTGCTTTCCCCCTTTTTTTAATTGATTTTATTAGTTAACATTGGCCTTTCTTGTAATAGGTAAAACTTACAGAAATTGAGTCAGAATTAACTGAGATGAATGCAAACAGTGAAAAGTTGCAACGCGCGTACAATGAACTTGTGGAGTATAAGCTTGTTGTGCAGAAGGTGCAGTCTATTCTCTACTTAAGTCATGAACAATTATGTGTCTTTCATTCAAATATTATGCATAATCAAGAGAGAACAATGATAAGTATGTATTGCTACATGCATTTAGCCTGCTTGTTCTTCTAAGTGACCTGTGATGGTTAATAGCCCTTAGAAGATCTAATAGTTATTGAAAATAACCAAAGAAGGAGTATATTGATGACTTTTCGTTAATTTTTCTGGAAAAATGAAAATGGAAAATGTTTATGGTTGGTTCCAATCCATGTTGAACTAGAATATATGAAAGTTTCACTTTTACCCATTGTGTGTCTGAATTATTTTATTTTGTGTTCAGAAAAACTTATAACCAAAAGGCCCTAGACAGAGTTTTTAGCTGAAAAGCTGTTTTGTGTAAAAATTAAACAATACCAAATATGTGAAGTTGTGTCACGTGTGAACTTCTATTTTCTACCATTTGTAATCCTAAACCAAGCTCAATTTATTTCCGCTTGTTTGGTTTGGCTCTCCTTGACTTAGGATAGTCCAAAATCTTGTTCAATTGATGTATTGAAGATAAATTTTGCATAAGTAATTGCTGCATGGTGGTCTGAAACGTACAACATGCTTGATAAAAAGAAAAATCGAATTGACAATGTGCCAAAAAGGCATGCATTTCTGCTAGTTAAAGAGATACAGATACAGATTTGTAAAATGCTTATAACATAATGCAGTTCTACCTGACTTCTATTTGTGTATATTGATTGGGGCGCTTTCAAATCACTCTTAAATTAGTAAACATTCTTAATACTTTTCTGATTGCTAAAGTTCAATATTCTAAAAATGCTGATGTTCTGATATGAGAGAACTTCTCATTGATCTTGTATTCTTGTTATTTTATAGGATTGAAATTTTAGATGCATAAATCTTAAGATATGACAGCCAATCAATAAATAATTATTCCCCTTTTCAGGCTGGTGATTTTTTTCACTCAGCTCAAAGCCGTGCCATAGAGCAGCAGAGAGAATTGGAATCACGCCATCTTAGTGGTGAATCAATGGAAACACCTTTACTACAGGACCGAGTAGATTTCTTACCTGCTCATATCTAAATATTTCCTCTTATAATGTTGACAATAAGCTTTTTATAAAGAATTGGTTCCTGCTGTTTGTTTTGTTGTAAAGGAATTGCCAGGTGATTCATCGAAGCAAGTTAAGTTGGGGTTTTTAGCAGGTCTTGTTCCCAGGGAAAAGTCCATTTCATTTGAGAGAATTTTATTTCGTGCTACTAGAGGCAATGTGTTTTTGAGGCAGACTGTTATTGAGGATCCCATCACAGACCCTGTTTCTGGAGAAAAGGTGTTTACCTATTGTTTCCCCATCTACATAAAATAAATAATGAGTTGTGCCATTGCAGGCTATTGTTAATGTTCATATATTGTTGCTTTCATTTAAGCTGATAGATAGACCATATTGAAATCATGTCCTGAGGCATGTAAGTCTGGATGCATCCCATGGTTTATTTTCTTGACTTTGTATTCATTACGAGTGACATCATGCGTCATACATAAAATGTGCTGGGTAGAGGGAGTTTGTTGGTCTAACTACTTAGTTTTGTTCCCTGTTGTTTCTTGTCAATGGTATATGATGCGCAGACATCTCACATTGAAGTTGTATTGACAGTGTCCTCTTTTGATAGTGAAGTTTCATTTGAAATATGAATAGGAGATCAAGTTCTTTAATTGTATTGTTTGGATTTTCCAACTGTATTTGACCTTTCTGTTAGTATTATACCTATGTGTTGGGCCTGATCATTGAGTGATAAACTTTAGAATCTCCAATTTTTATACGAAGATTTGCTATATGCTTCTTTGTTGTCAACTGTACCAATGAATCTATGGTTGCTATTGAAAATATAATAGGTGAGTTTCTGTATTTTTGGTTGAAATAAGTTCTTGTCTGTTGCAATATATTCTTCTGCTTTATATTCTATTCTATGGTGACTTATGGATGTTTACCTGCAGACTGAGAAAAATGTGTTTGTGGTCTTCTATGCCGGCGAAAAAGCAAAAGCTAAGATTCTGAAAATATGTGATGCCTTTGGTGCTAATCGTTACCCTTTTGCTGAGGAACTTGGAAAACAAGCTCAAATGATTACAGAGGTTTGTATATTGGTTCTTATTTCTCTTGAGGAAAAGCTTACTGTACCCCACCCCCGAGTTTTTTTGTCAAGCTTCTTCTGTACTGCTTTACAGCTGTACATGTGAATTTTAATTGATTGCCCAGAAACAATTAGATGTTAAGTTCCTAGGTAAAGTATTATCAAACCTGTCTTTGCATTTAACTGCGGGAGCGGGAGACATGATTTAGTAGTATTGACCTTGACACCCGAGTTAGGTGGTCTTCCCTTGCTCAAATTTCATGAAAATGAAGTGGATCACCCTTCATCAAAATGTAAGTTTGTAGTACTGAACACTAACCTTTATTGTGGTCCTAGAGTGGTCAAGAGAGGATTGGCTTAGTTTCTTATTTTTTCTGAGATGTCTTCCGTAACCATTGGGCATTGAGTGAGTGCGTGTACCATAAGCAAAGGTTGTCAAGAATTATTTCTTCAAAGATGTCTTCCAATACCATACTTGCTTACAGTGACTACTGAGTACTTGTAATGTGTTGTTGATTCTGATGTTTATACCGGCTAATTTTTCTATTCACAAGCATAGTCATGTTATTTGATGTGCAGATTAGTCACAGAAGTTTATGATGGACTGGTGGTGAAACTTAGATATTCTTCCTTCATAGTTGCAATGCTTTGACTTTGTGCACTTTAAATGATTCTTACTTGTGATTAGTGAAGGAAATTATTGAAGAATAAAATTAATCAATATAGTTGCTTGCAGATAGCATAATCTTTTTCATTTTATGTGCAACGATGGCATTTATCTTGCTATGTAGTTTTTTTTTTTAGGTATGTTTTATTTCTATGAAGCCTCATCCTCTATCTGTTTGTGCAACTTATTAGGTTAGTTACAATTTTTTGGTTGTATGTCTAAACAACTTTAACACACTCCCCTGCAGGTTTCTGGAAAACTTTCAGAGTTGAAGACCACTATAGATGCTGGACTCATGCACCGTGGTAACCTGCTACATACTATTGGAGCTCAATTTGAGCAATGGAATATTTTGGTATGTCAAAAAATTAAATCTAACCATGTTCTGTATAATGCGTATAACAAACATGAACATATATACCTGACCACCTACTTTCTTTATCATGCTTTTGATTAAGTGTAAATTTTCATTCTCCAATATACAAATTACTTGTAGATTAATATTTTTCTTCCGTTGCATCAATGATTAATTTCTCAACAATATTTCTTTCAACTCATGAAGGTGAGGAAGGAGAAATCTATTTACCATATCCTGAACATGTTAAGCCTTGATGTGACAAAAAAATGTCTTGTGGCTGAGGGGTGGAGTCCTGTTTTTGCAACAAAGCAGGTATTTATTGTTCCTGTGGTCCTTTCTTTTGTAATGGGTTTTCATTTTGTCTAGCCAAAGTTATTGGTTACTATAAAAGTGATTTTATGAAAAGTGTAACCTTGAATTTTCAGATCCAAGATGCATTGCAGCGAGCAACATTTGACGCCAATTCTCAAGTCGGTGCCATTTTCCAAGTTTTGAATACTAGAGAGATGCCACCTACCTATTTTCGCACAAACAAATTCACTTCTCCATTTCAAGAAATTATTGATTCATATGGGTGAGTATCATACTGATTTCTTTTTCCTTCTTTATCCCTTTATTTGTAGTTGTGTGTGTGGAGAGGGGAGGTAATACTTATTGATAATATGTGCAGAATAATCGCAATATACATATTGTTTGTATGATCATGTGTTTGTAATATGTTTGCACTGCAAGTGTAATGTTAAATATACCATTAGAGTTTGGGTATACAAAAGCAATGATGTTTATAGTTTCAGGTCATGATCAACGTATAAGTAGATCAGTTATTTTCGCAATTTGTGAAATTTTTGTTGTTCTCCTACAAGAAGATACTGTGGGACTCTTATACTAGCACTACCGATGTTGGTTATCCTACTTTTTTTTTTTTTTTTTAATATACCATCTCCAATTGGAGATTCATTAGATGTGGTTTTTGGGTCCACTCTCAAATGAGTTCATTTAACTTGAAATGTTAATGGATATTTCATATCTTGAATAAAACCATCAATTTTTCCATCACATTTAGACAAAGTTGAAAGCATATTTCTCCCCACCAAAAAAAAAAAGAAAGCATATTCTTTACTCCAATTTGTATTTGTCCTGCACTATATAGCAACAAAGTACTAGGTTGAGTTCATTATGTCAGAAGCAAATTGAAATAATTAGATTAGCTGCCACATAGTAATATTTCTTATAGACAGGGAGACAGTATGGTATTCACCTGAACCAGATTTGAAACCTTTATGGAAATTCATTGATTTTTTATGTAGAAATGTGAATTGTAAAGTTGATGTCATCTAAACAAATAAAATGAAAAGTTAAATTCAATAGATTTTTTCCCCAGTAAAGTGCTTTAATTTCTAAACATTTTGATCAAAACTTTAGATTTGAATGTAAAAGAGAGACTGCTGCACCTTGGGGTCTACACCTGTTATAATACCGAGCTAGTGGATGGTGCAATCATCTCAATAGTTTTAGAACTTTATTCCTTTTTCGGTCTTGCTTTTATTTTCGCTAGATATCAATCTTATACTTTGAATTTTTATACTAATATTTCAGGGTTGCTAAGTATCAGGAGGCAAATCCTACTTTGTTTACTGTAGTTACCTTTCCATTTCTTTTTGCCGTAATGTTTGGTGATTGGGGGCATGGAATATGTTTACTACTGGCAGCTCTATATTTCATAATCAGGGAGAAGAAACTTTCTAGCCAGGTAAACTTTTAGTTTTCCCTAGAAATTCTTCCTTTTAAAAATTATAAAAGGCAAGATTTTATGTTTTAATGGGAGAAAATAAGTAGACATTCTCCTCGTGCTATGCATGGTGAGTGTATGTGCTGAAACATTACCTTTTTGGTAATTAATGTTAACATCGTGACAAGGTTAAGAATCCTTATGGATAATGAAAACCTTTGGCACTCTGCTTTGTGTTAACATTGTCTTCATTAACTGTTTTTTCTGTAACTACACGAGACTCTTCTATAGTGTATTCAGTAATTTAATAATTTTCAAGGGTTTATAGTACTGCTTGATGACTGAGAGAATGTTTGGGTCATAGTTATCAAATGCGGGTGGCGGCCAACCCCCAAAAACGCTAGCAAAATCCGATACATGAACCTGTTATATATAGATATACTACACATATAAATGCTAAAAATACAGACATTCATCCATAATTAGAAAGTTTGTGGATTTCACCAAACCACAAGAAGAAACAGACTCTTAGTTGGGTCTTGTAGTTGTATAGTCGTTGGCTGCCATGATCGATGAAGAAAGGCTGAATGAGGTTGCTAGAACAGTTCCAAGCTCTGTATCATCGCTGGAGAAATTTTGGCTGGAAGAGCTTGCTGTCTCAATAGTGCAGACAGGACTAATTGAGTGGTTGCTGCCACTTGCCAGAAAACCAAACAGAAAAAACTGAGTGAGTTGCCCGAAAAGAAGTTGATGGGTTTGCTGTTAAAGGGGTGAGGGGGCAGAAGACCAGTCTGAGATAGTGCTCACGATGTGGTGAGGGACAGGAAACGATACCAGTCGAAGAGTCCAGATTGTGTTTTAAATTAAAAATGGTTGAAAAGTCCATTACACCCCTTCAGTGGTTGGGACATCATTTGTACGGGCAAATATGAGATTTTCCCTTCATTTCCCTCCAGTAAATCCTAGCGTTGCATAACAAAAATTATGGTGACCCTCCACTATGCAACCCGGGTGCTATAGCCCCGCAATAGCACGCTGTTAATAACTATTGTTTGGGTGCTTTTTTCTTTCAAAATCATGCATTAAGAGTGCTTAAAATCATTCAAATTAGTGGTTATTTTTAAAGACCATAATATATATATTTTTTGGTCTATTAGTGTTAAGTAGCCCTCTCCCTTCCTAGTGAAGGTGGATTCGACTGCTGGTCCTTGGAGTCATTGCAAAGGACTTTGCCAATTAAGCCAACAAACATCTTTGACCACAATTTCATTTTTTCTATTGACCCGATGATGAAAAATCTTTAAATTTGTTGATTAACAGTGAAAACCTTTCAGATTGACATTGTAATTTGCCATTGATTTCTGCTTGGTGGTGTGTTACTTTCCTTCCTCTTGCATAAACATATTTCAAGTGTATGTGTGTGTGTGTGTTTTATTTTTTATAAAACCAGTATTTAATATTGAATCTTTGGGTAAAAAACAGAAGCTCGATGACATAACGGAGATGACTTTTGGAGGTCGTTATGTTATTATATTGATGGCACTCTTCTCAATCTACACTGGTTTTATCTATAATGAGTTCTTTTCTGTCCCATTTGAAATCTTCGGTCCCTCTGCATATGAATGTCGTGACCTTTCTTGCAGGTATATCAAATCCTTTGATTTATAACATTTAACATTGTGCTTTATGCTTTTAGAGTTACCGTCTTTCATTCTCTTTTATTTACCCTCTTTTTGATGCAGGGATGCTACGACAGTGGGCCTGATAAAAGTGCGTCGCACTTACCCTTTTGGAGTGGATCCTGTATGGCATGGTTCACGAAGTGAATTACCATTCCTTAACTCATTGAAAATGAAAATGTCAATTCTTCTCGGGGTTGCTCAAATGAACCTTGGAATTATAATGAGCTATTGCAATGCCAAATTCTTTAGGAACAACGTAAATGTATGGTAAGTTCAAATGTATTTGAACGGTAACATTTATTATGGGAAAATCCTACTTAAATCTTTTTTTCTGCCTTGAGGGAAGAATTTTTTTTTTTTTGGTTTGTTCGGTTATTCACATCTGCAATCAAATCTCTGATTCTTTTGAATTTTGATCACTAGGAACTTGCTTACTAATTTAAAATTAATGTAATTTTTCATTTCAATATTTCACCTCTTTCAGGTTCCAATTCATTCCCCAGATGATATTTCTCAATAGTCTATTTGGCTACCTGTCCCTTCTTATTATTTGGAAGTGGGTCACTGGTTCTCAAGCTGATTTGTACCATGTAATGATCTACATGTTCCTGAGCCCGACAGATGATTTGGGTGAAAACCAACTCTTTGTTGGTCAGAAAAACCTGCAGGTTGGTTAACTCCCAACACCCCCCCCCCCACCTTTTGGTGTATTTCCATAAGAATAATACTTACGCGCTTTGTTCTGTTCGTACCAGCTTGTGCTTTTGCTTCTAGCTGTTGTCGCTGTGCCGTGGATGCTTTTGCCAAAACCTTTTATTTTGAAGAAGCAACATCAAGATGTATGCTTCCTTTTGTACTTCAAGTTCTCTTTTTGTTCTAATATGGAACTTTTACCTATGTTCTGGTTCTAATAGTTATGTTACTTCAGAGGCATGGAGTTGAATCCTATATACCACTCGAAAGCACAGAGGAGAGCTTGCAAGTGGAGGCAAGTCATGATTCCCATGGTCATGAGGAATTTGATTTCAGTGAAATCTTTGTACATCAACTCATTCACACCATAGAATTTGTACTTGGAGCAGTCTCCAATACAGCTTCTTACCTTCGTCTGTGGGCCCTTAGGTATGTCTTTAAGTGGCGCAAGTGTTCTATTCTAATATAAATGCTTGAGTACAAGAGATACAAGGTTGGAACCTCACATCATTTAGGTTATTAGTTTTGTATTTCTATTTATCTGTAGGTATGTTATATGTATGTATTAATTACAGTTATGCATTTACTGATGTTTTCCCTTTTTTATACCCAGTCTTGCTCATTCAGAGTTATCAAGTGTATTCTACGAGAAGGTTCTGATGATGGCATGGGGGTATGTTAAGTTTATGAATTTCTGTTACATTTTCTTACTTGAGACTCTTGATGTGGATTGTGGAGGGTAAAAGTGGTGAGCGTTCACCAAGTGGAAATTATTCAGCACATTTGTGCTACTGCACGATATCTATAAGTGGAAACTCACTAACTGTTAAAATGCCGTTGTTTGATTTTTGAAATATGTGTTCTTAAAAATGTAGGATTTATGAAAATGGTGTACACTAGGCGTACTGAATTATCTCTCATGAGGCTGTGGTTCTTGTTGCTCTTAGTTCATTCTCTACAATCTATATGTTTCCCTCTCAACTTCAACAATAGTTTATCCGGATAATTAATGTGGGGATTGACTGGTAATTTCTCTGGCTGATGTCACAGGTACAATAATGTGATTATCCTGATAGTGGGTATCGTCGTCTTCGTTTTTGCTACTGTTGGTGTGTTACTTGTCATGGAAACTCTGAGCGCTTTCTTGCATGCTTTACGACTTCACTGGGTGGAGTACCAAAACAAGTTTTATGAGGGCGACGGTTACAAGTTCAACCCTTTCTCGTTTTCATTGCTAGACGAAGAGGATGACTGATGCTTTAAAATCATATTGATAAGAATGTGGGGTTTAGATTTGGACCTGTGTTCATTCTTTCATTTGCTGTGTGACAAGTCAGTGATTGGTATCTGCGGCATTGTATATGCTAGTATCCTGGGAGCTTCTTCTTCCTACACCTTGCCGTATCTTGTTTATTTATCCGTTGAGGGAATAAATACCCCAATTAGGGGTGTAACTTTGTCTGAGCCAGGCAGGCATAGCCGTAGTGTAATAATTAGAACTTAACAAGACAATTTATTATTGATATCTTTATTTATTTTATTTACAAAAAATAGCTTTATATTTATATCGTAATTTGCATAATTTTGAAAATGATTTAGTAGTATATTTGTTGGGTATCAATGTGAACTTGTGCCCAGATCATGGCATTATGAATGAATTATAATAAATGTACATGTACAGGAACGAAAAACGATCTAACTCACCTATCTATTAATACATAATTGTATTTTATTTTTACATCATAGATTTATCTTTAAATCAAGGGTCTTATTATGTGTTCAGAGTATCGATGTGAACTCGTGCCCAGATCATGGCATTATGAATGAATTATATAATAAATGTACATGTACAGGAACGAAAAACGATCTAACTCACCTATCTATTAATACATAATTGTATTTTATTTTTACATCATAGATTTATCTTTAAATCAAGGGTCTTATTATGTGTTCAGAGAACAAAATAAGCTGAAATAAAGCAGTTTTTTTTTTTACGAGATTGCAGTTTAATCCGATTCATTAACTTGGCCACGTACGTTTAAGATCTGAATTTAAATAGAGTTTAGGATAATTACTCGCGCTCAACATTAAATCAGTAATGATAGTTTGCAAATGAAGAGCAATTCAATTCAAACATTGAAAAACAATTTCAACGTTCATAAAGTTGGTCTACAAACTGTTTTCAAGATTGCATACATAGATTAACAGCTTTGACACCACTTTAAAATGTGGGCAATGATTGATGTTTTACGGTAAAAAGATACATAGACATTTGACAAGGTCAACTACGTTAACATCCTACTGAGTAGTGGTGGTATGAACGGCGGCGACAGTTGAAACCATGGAGTCCACACCGCATATATTTCGTCCCTGGCATATCTTGTAGTATCCATTTTCTCCCCAGGTCTCTCCCCAGGAATTTTTAATGATCCAATATGGCTTATCCTTCATCCGGATGGGTGAATAGCCTCCAGAACCATATCCCACCAGCAAGACCCCGTGATCCAGCCGCCTTGAACATATGTATGGGCATGATACTCCACCTATATATGTCTGCATAAATACTGCATTGATGGCCACTGTGTTTGTTCCCATTGTAAGTTACAAGATATCAGCCATCAATATCCGCAGTTGAATGTCAAATTAATAATTGAATAAAAAAGTACTCCAAAAAACGAAAATTACTCACCTGCAAGAGGGCCATTTTTCACAAGATTCGCAGCAATCTGGTCTTCATCAAGGGAGACGACACTGAAGTTTGCCACTGATGCTGCAATCTTTGCTTTGTCAAATTTGCAGGTTCCGCGATCGGTACCAGAATAAGGGTAGTCTTCCTCCCGCATGACCCCACCAGATTTAAGGATGTATTCAAAAGCACTATTCATCAATCCACCATTGCAACCAGAGTCGCAGGAACCTGGTTCATCTGGATCACACTGCACATAGGAACAAGTCCAATTCAGCAAGGATCAATTGCTAATTAATAATTTTTCTCCCTTCCTGCGTTTGAAATCTTTTTAAGTTAAAAGAATTCATGTCACTTGTATGAAACTAGTTTGTAGTGATTAATTTAAGAATTTAATTTATTTCCAAATTATTTTGTGGTGTTATAATACTATCTCTTAAGATAGAATTTGTAAACTATTTTATTTCAATTTTTTTTTGTTAATTCTTAAACAAAAGTGTTCCAACCTTAGGATAAGGAATCTGCATTGGCGGACCTTAATAACAACATCAATTGGACAAAGGAGGTGTGCAAGTTCGACTAACTACAACTTTCTTTAATAAGTGCAGGACAAAATGAATTAAATTACATCAGACAACATCATCCCACATAATAATGGTTTCCAAAACATCCCTGGAGATCAGATGATCGGTATGATTAACCGTAATATTTTCATCCATTAGCTCACCAAAGTTGACGCACAAGGATTAATAGTATCAATCCTTGATCATATGTTACCTTAGAAATGTTTAACACCCACTTCTACAAGGTAAACGTTGTTATAAAATGATTTCTGAATTATATGAACATTTAGTTTTTAACACATCTATATTACCTAACAAAATTGTTGGCAGTTAAGAAAAAATCAGAACCAATATGACTTCCAAAAAAAGCAACAATGTAGACTAAGAATATGCCGCCCACAAGTATAAGAGGATAATTTAACCTAATAACTAAAGCCAAATTATATTACCATCGGTCAATAACAATCTCCAAAAAGTAGCTCAAACTTCTGATATTGAAAACCACAACCCGAACCCAATCTTACAGTATAAGCCTATATGATTCATCTTCATGTGCTAAACGTTACCTAATTATCCAGAACCATTCATGTCAAACACATAGAGGACAAGCATCAAACCCAGTGGCAGAGCCATGTTGAGACCATGCCTCAGCACTCACTATTTTCAAAAAATGGTATTGTTTTATTGAAATATTATGGTACAGTCTTGACATCAGCTGAGTTTTCAAAAATGTTCTACCAACGAAAACCAAGTCTTTTAACACATACAACAATTACATCATAATAAGAAGCCAAAAAGGAAAAGAAAGAAAGAAACAAACCTCGTGATCACAATCGACGAGCTGCTGCTCGCTAAGACTAACAAGTTCCCCGGTAGCGAGGAAGTGAGCACCTTCGAGGGCCCCAGTAGTGCTGAAGCTCCAACACGATCCACACGAACCCTAATTTCCAAAACAATGCAAATAAAAAATCAAACATTTAAATGAATGAGAAATTGAGAATCATACCTGATTTTTGACAGGGGTAACTGCTCCGTTATCTCTCCAATCAAAATCGGCGGGAAGATTATCTGTTGGGAGAATGGGAGCCTTGTTTGCATCGGAAGGCAACCTCAGACCTCTGAGTCCCAAAACATTCTTTCGAAACTCCGAAGGTGTAAGATCCGAGAAACGAGTCACACCGTGAACCGCGGAAGGATCAAGGTTCTGGTGACGACGAGCTCGGCGCAAGTTAGCCTCGAATACCTTGAACCTGTAATCGTGCTCTTCCCTGGAAGAATACGCCTTCCCGAACCTACGCTTGAACTCAGAAAAGTGATGCTCTGCTCCCAACCGCACGCCGTCGACCACCTGCCGGATCAACAAATCTCCGTCGTCAACCGTCTCCTCCGACGAGATCGACGAGACGAAGAGGAGAGAGGAAACAACGAAGAGAATAAGAGCCCGATGATCCATTTCGAAAAAATGGCGGTGGTGGCGAGTTGGGGTGTTAGTTTTTATAACAGAAAGCCCCAAACAAAATAAACATGATGACAGTTACGTTATTAAAACAGTAGCTACGCCTACGATTACTTAGGAGGAAGGTAAGGTATAATAGCCAATTGCTACACGACAAATGGCTTTGCTTGGAGTTGAATGGCAGTTACAAACTTAGTTGGTTTGGTGATAAGAAATGCCCAAGCCCAATAAGTTGCGAGAAATGGGCCAAATGAATTTTTTAAGTTGGGCCTTTTTATTATTTTTGGTCCAAAAACTAAACAAAACCAATCACACCTGAAAATCAGTAAATCACCAACAGCGACGGCGAAAGGTTCTTCTTCTTAACCAGAAGTAGAGATTTCTTCTTCTTCTTCTTCTTCTTCTCTTAATTCTTCTTCTCTTCTGATTTCTTCTTGCTTCAACTAGTTCTTCTTCTTCTTTACAAAGGTACGGTTTCCGTTCACAAGTTTTTTTTCTCCTCAATGGCTTCATATGTTTTTCTTAGGATTTTTCTGCTTGCTTCATATGTTATCATGGGGTGTTTGTCCTTTAACTTTGAAATTTCATCTGGGTCTTTTTTTTTTCTTTTTTTTTTTCAATTTAAATTGTGCTATCGAGTAACTTTAAGGCTTCTTGTTTGAATTTTTCTTTGATTTTGTGGATTTGTTTGCAGAGCTTGATATACCAGCTTTGCAAGGGTGTTGTTTTCTGCCACTGTCATCGAATTTTGCACAGGTATAGCTGAATTTCCTTCCTTCTTCATTTATCTCTCAAGTAATCATATATCATTTTAATGAAAATTTATCTAGTGAAGATTTGCTTGAAAATATCCCACGGTAGTTCCTGATAACCACAAATGTTAGTCATAATTTTTAGGCATTAAATACATTAGTTCTACACAAATATTGGGTATTTGTTGTCTTTGGTGTGAACTATGATTCTATTTTTTGAACGAACTGAACATAAAAGAAGAGAAAAAAAAAATGAAGATGAATTTAGTTGACTTGGACTTTGAAGACATGAGAAGAAAAAAAAGTATAAATTGAAAGTTTTGAGTTTGGGCAGCCAAATGCGTTTTTTCTTTTTGGTTCCATAAGGCAACGATGATTTCTGAGTTTAGGACTTGATAGCAGATAAGCGAATTGGTTTCCCTTGTTTCTGTGCTTTCTGGTGGCAAATGTGTATCCTACTTTTTTCCCATTTGCTTCGTTAAATTGGTATGCCAGAGTAATATGTGTAAATATTTACACATATCTTTTGTTTTATTTTTTGTACATTTCTCTTTCTTTTCATTAAAGGTTAGTAAAGAATTCACTTTAAGTACTCCTGGTTAAAGCTACTTCTATTTAGGTTTATTAGTTGAAACATCGATAAGAAAGCCATTGAAATTATTATCTGGAAAATTCTGATGAGCTCAACCTAATAGGAATAGTGATAGCAGAATGCCAGAATGAACATGGACTTTTAAACCTTGTTCAATCTGGGACGATCATGGTTAATGTAGGATTTATATATTCGCAGAGTATATGGAAGAGACAGCCAACTGATCATTGTGCTCCAAGAGGCTTGAAGCTAAAAGGGTGGTGTTTGTGTACAGTGTCAATTAAGAAGAGCAAGGATTAGAAGGTGTGTATGAGGATTAACTCTTTAGTTATAGAAGAGATTTACATGAAGGTGTGAGAATTTGAATGAGAGTCAAACTCTTGGAAGATGAGAAAATGGACGAGATCCTTTTGTATTTGAAGTAGGATTGGGCCTATGAGATGGGTCTAGAACACACCTATTCAGATAGTTTAGTACTAGTGGTTGTTTATTTAAAATATATTAGAAAAAGGAAACATTACATTGATGGTTTAAAATGTTGAGAGGAACATTGATTTATACATCAAATCACTTAGATGAATTCTGGATCCAACTCTGTTTACACAAACATTAACCCAATGAAAATAAAAATTAAAGCATTTAACAGTATACTCTTTCAGCATCCGGACAACATACCTTTTTTATTGACTTAAAATTTTTGTACAGATTAAGACTTGCAACTAAAATTGATTGACTTAAAAAATTTCATAGTAAAGCTTCATAAATGTTATCTCATATTTATGTCTGAAATTGTTTTGCTCTGTTGAACTCCTTTTTGCTGGCAGTATGAAAAATATTTAGCTTTGAAATCCTCTAACTCAGTGACCAACTAGGTGACATCTTGTCACATTTTTGAAATCCTCTAACTCAGTGAAATCCTCTAACTCAGTGGCTTACTTGAGTTCAGCACAAATCTTTCTGGTCTATATTCTATGCTGCATTTCCCCGTCCTATGATCATTTCTATTAGTTCCTAATGGACATCACGTGCCATTACCGTTCCAGCAGGATATACCATGGGCTTTCTGATCCAGTAGGATACAGAAAAAGCATCATTTTAACTAGAAAAAAAAACATAAAGGAAAAGAACCCTTTGGATAGAAAGATGTTTCTTTCTCTTGAAATCACCGGCTTCTTAAATATTCTGGTTTCTTGTCTAAGAATAGCAATATTGCTTTTCAAATTGTATAATATTCTCATGAATTTGGCCAAAAATTCTGCAGAGATATTTACAATATTTATTGATTGCTTTTAGCACTCATTAATGTTATGATGGACTGGTGGTGCAATATTCTTCCTTCATAGTTGCAATGCTTTGATTTTGTGCTCTTTAAATGATTCCTACTAGTGATTAGTGAAATAAATTATTTATGGACAAGGAGAAATTTTGTTGCAATTTGAAAAATGAGATGTCTTTTTCACTATGTCTGGGCTAACTTGGTTAACTAGAATACTTGAGTTAGCTTATTTCTGATAATTTATCTGCGTTGCAGATGGAGGGTGGGTTTGCTGAAGAACTTTATGATGAAAGTTTACAACTGTCAAAATTAAAACTAAGACCAACCAGTGCCGAGGATCAAGAAAATAAGTTAAACGGTAAGATTCAGTATGGGTGAATAATATGGAAAGTCTATTACTAAAGGACCACACTCTGGAAGTTCTAGTATTATTTACGTTATTGAAGTTTTTTTACTAGTTAAGTTATTGTTCTGAGTTTTTCAGTCTCCTGCTTTAAGGCATATAGTTGTATATTATGCTTTCAGATTGTGATGGTGATGATTTGAGCCTTGATGGTTTTGATGACAAGTTGGATAACTCATCAGATTTGGACAGGGAGTGGCAGAGGAGGCATGACCAATTCCATACGGTATTTTCACAATTTAGAATTAATTTTCCTTATTTTTAATTTCTAATTTCTAATTTCTTACTTCTATAAAATGATTAGCTTCCAGTTTTCATTCTCTGTCATATTTTAGATTGGGTATCGAGATGGTCTCATAGCAGGGAAGGAAGCTTCTTCACAGGAGGGGTTCAATATTGGTTTTAAACAATCAGTTCATGCTGGTTATAGCTGGGGTGTTGTAAGAGGTGTTGCCAGGTATTCTGAGAGGGAAGACAGAGATAATTATGCAGTGTATTTGAATTTTAATATTGTTACTGGTTCACTTATATATTTTCTAAAATTTTCTGTTTGGCTGTTTGCTTCCTGTGTAGTGCTTTTGCTTATCTTCCAGATCAGTTAAAAGAGAGGTTGGTTGAAACAATAGAAAAAAGAAACGAATTCCAAGGTCTGCATGAATCAGTGCATTCTTTGTCAACAACAGATGCCCTTAGGTTGTTTAATGAAGACATCAAAGCAAAAGAAGCTTTGGAACAGAGTGAACTCGTAGAGGTAGAGGTTAGCCCCCATACAGCACGTTTGCAGGAGCAAACTTCACATGGCTCTCAGCTGAGAAATTTTCGTGCACAACTTGAATCTCTGATTCGTGGTTCTCCTGCTATTGACATTCATTTGCCTGAACGGAAATAGGTGGTGATCTACTTGTGTGTAAAACAGTTTAGCCTAAAACGATAAGAGCTTCCCAGCTTCCTGTGGTAAATATCTTCCATGTGCATGATTGCAAACAAAACAAATGATGTAATTGAGTTTAACTAAACTATTTTAGGTAATGAGAACTATTTATAGTTTTATTTGGTGTTACTTTACCTTTTTCTTGGCCTTAGTTGTAATCGTATGCTAGGCAATTAAACAAAATGGTAGGAGCAGAATTTGTCTTGTTAGCTCTTTCTTTTTTCCAAATCCACCATTGTTAATAAATAGATAGATAATGTTGTACTTACTTCTGCTTAATTTAAACACAGTTGAACTCAACAAAGAAGTTGAAATGCAGTTGTAATTTGCTTACAGAACGTTAGTTAATATTAAAAAATAAATGAAAAATTCTGTGTAATTTGCTTTATGAATCAATATAGAGAAATATTTAGGTTAAGTTGCCCCTAATTGCGTTCTATTTGTATAGATTTATGGTCCTTTGTTCATTGTTGTAATATAATCTTATGATATTGTTTCTGTTGTTTACTTTATATCATCGTGTAACGCTTTCTCATGAATAAACATTTTAACTACGCTTCTGCATGATACAAAGAAAGAGAATAAATCAACAGATCTGGGGCACCAGTGCCCCTTATTACATATAAGTACTAGTGCATCAAACACAACTTAAAGAAAGTAAACACCAAAGTACACTGAACAAATTTGTAGATCAAATCCATAGATAGAGCTTAGTGGGAACCACAAAATCCGATTCTTGTGCTTCAGTTTCCATGTAAAAGTCACACGTCCCTCCCTTAATGTTGCCTCCATGCTTCAGAAAGGAGGTACTTAACAAGTTACTCGTTGTAATAGGCTTGCAAATTACTTCTGGAGATTCTTTCTCCTGTTGTCTTAATCCTCTGTTTCCTGTGCAAGATAGCACTTGCTGATATGAATAAGAGAAGGGAGAAGGCCTCTGTTTTTTCCTCAGCAGCATACATCAGCTACAAGCTTGAATAGGTCTGGCATGAGCAAAGGGTGAGTCGTTTCTTATATGGGTTTCACATTTGGGCATTGACATTACTGTTTCAAAAGCTCCAACCAGCAATGCCACCTTCCTTTTCCCAGCTGGAGCAAGTTTTGTGACAGCTTGTCTGAGTGCAAAATCAACCATCCATTCCTCTGCACTTTTTCTTTCATCTATCATTTGGTGCTTCAGGTCAACCTTTTCTGGTTCTGGATCAGGAACCGAGGGCAGGAAATTTGGCTTTCGCGAGTTGATCTTTCTCATTTCCTCCTCGTCTTGCATAGGTCTCTTGCACCTAGTTGCCCATTGCCAATTCTTGCTTGTGTTCTGCTCTTCACCACCTTTGCTGCTTGTGCTGTGTAACTTACTGGCTTTAACTTGATTTTCCTCCAATAATTCCTGGTCCTGGACAATAATGGTGCTTTCTTCTGGCATATCAGTCCATTGAATTTGGTTCTCCTGTCTAATTCCTTCATCATCATTCTCTAGGCTTGTGTTGCTGCCTTCATGGCTTTCATCAATGTCGCAAGTTTCACTGATCTTGTGACCTTCACTATTTTCAACCGTCTCTTCATCAAGTGCCATTAAGACACAACTGGCCTCATCATCCACATGTTTTTCATTTTCTCTATTATCATCTTCTGCATTTATCGGATGCTGAAATACTACCTCTGTCAAAGAAGATTGGTCATAATCATAACTTTTTCTGTTGGACGAATAATCAGTTTCTTGAGTCTCGAACTCGATGTTTTCACTTGTGCCTTCCAGGACAGAATTAGTGCCATGAGGTTGTGCTTCAAAACAGGTGCTTTTTACTTCTTTGGCTTCTGAGAGTGCTTCTTCAACCAGAATGTCTGAATAATGTCTGCTAAGGGTGTCATCTAACCACATTTCAGATATATCATGCAAACCCTCTGATAAGGACTCAAATTTTGAGTCAGTCTCCTCCTGTATGATGACAGAAGAACCAATATCTTCTTCATTGTTGAATGCACAGAATTGTTCCTCCTCCCACTCCATATCAGTCTGATCTTTGGAATCAGAATCATCCAATTCAATATTCTCCATGTGTTCCCCATCATGGCTACTCTCACTGCAGTAGCTTCCCATACATATTTCTTCATGAAACCAGGTAGGTAGGTTTTCTTCTGCATCTTCAACATGTTGCTCTGGATGAAAGCTCCCCTTGGTATCTGCTTCGATTGCAGCATCATCATCAAAGTAGTTTTTGAAATCCTCCTCGAAATCAAACTCAGACTTGGGGAGATTATAAGTCACGCTTGGGTTAACTTGCTTGACACCATCCTCTTCTGTTGCAATGCCATTCTCCTTAACTGTTGACTTGATATCTTCTTGATCTGCAAGGTTTTTGATTGAGTCGAGTCTTCCCATTTTGCCACCTCCTCCCTTTTCCTTGGCATAGATTTCGATAAAGAAATCCATACCAATTTCTTGTGCCAAGGGAATGATTATTGGATTACCTGTATCAGCTTCATCACATGCAGGTTTTCCTTCAATGACAATCTGCTCAATATCAGAGTCCTCCTTTGTCTCACAGGGAACCTTCAATCTTCGAGGGCTCAGAGCTTCCAGCTTTATACTCTTCTGAGTCTTCAAAAAACGCCTCCTTGTTGACATGAAGTTCTTTAATGGAGGCACAGGAGCATGGCGATGGCAATTAAGAGAACAATATATATATGGGCAAACCTTCATGACTGAAGCTCCCTCAGATTCAATACCCCCAGGATTAAGCATGAGGTATGCAGGAAATTTAGAGTCTTTCAGAGTTGAAGAGCAGGTAGCTCTCTCTGGTGCAGTCATATCTGCACTCAGAACTCCTGTGATTGATTTTCTCGGACAAACTCTACAAGGCTTAAAAGTAGGAGCCTTTGTTAATGTTCTCGCCACATTCAAACTAGAGGATATTGACAAATCTTTTGCAGGTTTCTTACTAGAAACACAACTAGTGTTTGAATCACTTGAAAATTTTCGTGGTAGATTCTTACCATCTGAACCAGATTGGGTATTCCGAAGACTCACTGGCAAAAGCTCCTTTTTTGCATCTGAACTGCTGGTGGGCTTCATGTAATTAGGGGACTTTCTCACCAAAGGCTTCTCCTTTTGTGTTAATGCTGCAGTAGTTGGAACATGAAGACGTGGTGACTTTCTTTGTTGGGATAAGCTCCTCCTTGAAGATGGTGATTGAAGGCCCTCCAAATCAGAAAGCTTAACTGTCCTTGACTTCTTCATTTTCTTCATCCTATCAGTTCCTCCTTGAACATGATCAGCTTGGATACCAAGCTTGTTGGGAACCTTTCTTTGGACCATATTCAAAAGAAAACCACATGCATAATAAGTGGGAATATGGAATCAAAATTAGTTTTCATTTCCTTTGCTATGTAGAGTTCAAGCACAAGAAACCTTCTTGTGCTTTTCTTTTCCTCGAAAGGAAGTTCACATGGCAAAAAAAAGAAAAAACATGGAGGTATTGAAATCCAAACAACCAGAAAGATTCTGCCCTTTTGGTTTAGTTTGCTTTGTTTGCAGAAGGTTTTCTTGTGACTTATTCTCTGTTGTTGTTGATAGGCAGACGATGAAATTTGAATAAGGCTGGTATAATTGTTTCATGCTGACTCTTACTAACAGGTGGTTTAGGGACCCTTTCTGTTTGAGCATTATTTGTATTTGTAACATGGGAATTCTCCATTTGCTAGGGACCTGTTTCTTATAGTTAAAGCATTAACATTGTTTCTGTAAACAAAACCAAAAAATAAAATAAAAAATGCTCAAAATTTGTTGCTGATTTGATTCTCAACTTTTCCATTTCAAAATGACTAAATTACCCTCTCTTGATTTGGATAAGGAATACCTTGACGCCTTCTCTAGGTGATAGATGAAGACGTCGTACTTTTTCCACTTACTTTGGCATACTCTTGATTAATGGCAATAAAGCTCTATTAAGGCAACCCTTTGGTTCACGAAATAACCTCAACGTTTTTTGCTTTCTAGTCAATGGATTAATAATGGTGATAAATAAATATATTTATAATTACTATGTTATTGAAATGGTAGGTTTTATCGAACAGAATAAATGGAAAATGAATAGCTCTAAAGGATAATCCATGAATAGCAATTGGGTTTGTCTTTTACTTGGGTAAATAGCAGTTGGAAGTTTCTAGGTAGCTAAGTTAGCTCAATAAAAATAACTCTCTGTTCAAAGACTTCAATGTTCATAAATTGCAGAAGTTTTTGGCATGTGTGTGTATCTTGCTATGTATTTTCCTTATTAATTTGTCATCTTCAATTTAGGTGTAGGTGTTGGACACCCTTATTAATTTTTTTTTTTTAAAAAATGTGTAATTTAGAGGTAATATTAGCAGTTAATAATAACTGAACGAGTTGTTTTAGTAATTTATATAATTCTAAAATTGATTTAATAAAATTTAAATTTTGTGATAACTATAATAATTGTTTCAAAGTTTAGTAGTGTCTATATTCTACAATTGCTTTTATTAAATGAACCCAAGCAATTTTCTACGTTTAATGAGCATATTTGGAAGCATTGGAAATGAGGGGGGGAGGCAGGGTGCATGGAAGTTTTTGTCTTTTTTGGAGTCAAAAAGACAAGTCTGTGGTTGGCGAAAATGGGCTGCCTGTGGGCCCTACATGGGCCTTGGGTCCATATCAATCTTCAGAGGCTCCTCTCCTCTCATGATTGAAAGAAAGCTAAGGTGGTAAAGTGTAGATGATCAACGTAAACTTAAAAGAGTAATGCCTCATTCATTCTGATATGGTCATTTTACGATCATATATGAGGCAATGAAGCACCATAGACTAATGTTTGCTTGATAGGGGTGAAAAGGATTTCTTAACCAATTGATAATGATCTTCTCTAATTAAAAAGGAGTGATTTCAAATAAGGTCAATGAATCCTTCACGTTACTGATTATTGGTAGGTATGAAAATTCTCGTGAGACAACGTGCTACGCTATTATTAATTATTCATGGTGCAATACTCAATAACTGTTGAATATTTTACCCATTTGTGTTGGCTTTATATATAGTTCCATAAATATTTGTTAGGTATATTATGATATATAATTGCTATTTATGATAATGATGTAGTTGAGAGATGGTTGAGCTGAGCACCACACAACAAAAATCACGTGGTTTATTTAAAATAAACTTGTCTGTAAAGTAAACAAATAAGAAGTGTATCTATTATTGATTTATTTTAAAATGTATTACAATCTTAACTTATTAAAACTTTAGAATAACATAATCTTATTTGTTTACATTAAGATAAACTAACTTCAAATAAGTTATTATTATTATTATTAATTGTTAGAATAACAAATTACTCAACCTGCAAACAAATTGAGATTGAAGTTATGGATAAGGCCTTACTTATTTTTTATTTTTTAAAAAGGATAAGGTCTTAACAATGGGGAGAAACACATAAGTCTTCGTCATTGTGGAACGAAATGGTATACGTGTAAGATATTTTTTGGTGCTCCATCTCATCCATTCCTTTTAGATGTAATTTAAGAAATTCTGCAGGTCTATTATTTTTTATATTTTTTGAATTGTTAAAATTTTATATAAAATATCAGTTAAAAAATTATTTCACATAAAAGTTTGCATCAATAATCATTCTCTTGAACATAATATTTAGTTTGATATATTATTTGTTTTAAATATTTAAAGAGATTTTTCTATTTTTGAAAAATCATCAACACTTATCATCAATAAGCATCTAAGTAAATTAAATAAACTGAAAATACCTTGAAGTCAAGTTCCTTCCTTATAAAATTGTATTCCAATTAATTGTTGGGTTCGCTTTTTCTGACGTTACTATAAATAAGTTATCAATACGATATCGTTTTGGGTCAAAAATCATGATATTTTTATAATTTTAATTTATTTCAGGGTTATAATAGTCTTTACATTTATAATTTTTTAAGATTTCAATATAAAAACGACGTCATTTTGAGAATAAATGTAGATAACTTATCTGCAGTAACTGCATAAATATTTTTCTCATTAATTGTTATACTTATTTTATACGTAAAATCAACCATTAATGTTGATTTAATATATGTGGTACCATAAAATCTAAACAGTATACATGGTACCACTCTCGTAAAATTTGAATTTAAAAGAGACAGGTCTTTAATTGAATATTGAAGTTTATCTTTTAGTCATTATAGAAATAAGCCCTCTACCAGACTACCACTTCCAGCCTAGAAGTTAATTTTAAAGTTTTGAGTCAACTGTGACAGCGAAAAGACAATCCTTCCTTCCAGATACCTTCTAAAATTTTCATTTATTTAATTTAAAACTCAATCAGTCAAAAAAAAATCCTTTATATAATAATAAAGAATGTTTAAAATTAATTATAATTGTATACCAAAAAAGTTGTTTAAGCGAAATTATAGCAAAAAGTAACAAAGTATTTTAAGATAATATATTATACTTGAATAGCAATGGGTTTATACTTTTTCAAATTTTAATTATTAAATATCGTTTAATGATTGTAATTCTAAAAAAAAAAAACAGAAATTGCATACTGAAATAGAAAATTTCCTTTATAATATAGTTCAAAAATAAATAAATTATTATAGGTATAATTTAACCATCCCAATAAATTAGATATGATTAAGTGATAATCTTGGAGGCAAAACATGTACCTTTTGGTGGTTAGAATGTGCTAAATTTCTAAACCGCTGACAGTTCCTTATTCTTTTTGTCATTTTCCCTCAATAAAAAAAAAATTATAGTAGTCTGGCAAAAAAGTTCTCTGGATAAGACCAAGAGTATCAGGATCCTAACAATTTTTTTTTTTTTTTAAATGAGTATATTCACGATTCTTATATTTACAATCCTATAACTATACAAAAGTTGTCCAAACTGGAAGAATTCTCTTCTGTTCAAAGGACTTGAACATTGAAATATGAAATAAAAGGAATTGTTTGCAGGTGGACGTATATACAAACAAAGAGATTTATATTCTCTTCTGCACAGCAATAAGTAGGACAACAAAAATAGGAGAAACAAGAAAAAGAATATACGGCCAAATTTGATTCATTGCACTTTCTTGAAACACACCATCTTCTAGAGGGTAGTTAGATTTATTTTCTATAAATGCATCAAAATAATTCTGGTAGCCTGTGTTCTTTAAATAAAATGGAGATCCTGTGGTCACCTTCAACATTTCCATAGCCTGAAAGAGTTTGTAACCGACCATGAATGCAAGTCTAAAAATCTATGAATACTACACATTGCTAATAATCCTACATGCATGGGAAACATAATAGATTAGAGGGTTTAAATACTAGACAAAGATAGTCATAGTTTAAATTTTCAATTCAGGTTGCACTGTTATCTAGCAAATCACTTTTGCAGAAAAACCAAAACACAATGCCACCAGGAATTACCTGAAAACTGTACATTAATTGTCTTGCTTTCTTGCTTACTTTAGGAGTTGGGTGAGATTGAAGCTTCTCATACATACTTCGAGCCTCACTTTGCCTGTCAATCATCAAAATATGTTTGGAAATATTGAAAAATAAAACAGATCAATTAATAATAAGCACCTCCCCTTTCAAGTCAAGAGGCTATAGTTGTTTATGAACGAAGTCCAAGTTGTTGCAGACTCACACACACTTGGAATCTATATCGTTTACTGAGACTACCGGAAACATACAATTCATTTTCAAGAGAAAACAAGGCTTCCTGATCAAAACTAGCTGAGTTTCAGCATACTGCAGTGACAAGGATATCAACATATCATTCCAATTTTCCCCTATAGATTGCAATATCAGCACTTTAGGAACAGTTAAATTAGTGAAAGCCCAACGAATTCATTGATGAAGGTGTTATTTCCCTATGAACTAGTTATATCTTGTCCCTTGCATCAGGCAAAAAATATTGACAATGGCACCCTAACTGCAGATCAAATTTGACCTCTTCAGTGGCAAAGATCCCTGTCTCCAGAATGAACATCAACAAAGCCCGAGCCAGCTTAGCCAGAGGGCACCAATGCCCTAATTGGAGTTGAATTCTGGAGTCAGATCCCTGTTTTCGCAACAAAGTTTTTTTTGGGGTTGGTGTTTTTGGGGGGATACTCTTACATCAAACGGCACCAATGTCATCATTTTACATCAAAAGCCTAGATTATACAATAAGATTTGGTGATAGCACCAAGAAAAGAAAATAAACTTTTGTTAAGGGCTCAAATTTCTGAATTGACCCCGATAGGGATAACAATATTGGACACAGCAAAACAATGCAAGATAAACCTATTTGAACTGAACATAACACACAATAATATGACATGTTTTCAAAACTACTAAATTGTTTATCCTTCTAAGTTAAACGAAAGGCATTATACATAATTTAGAATTTAAAAACATATACAGATATACCTAAATTAACAACCTAGAATATGCATATTGGGGAATTCCATGAGAAGTTCAGATGTCATGAAGTTCTGAACATACCTATTGAGGGAGTCTTGACAAATCGACCACTGTAAAGCAGCTAATCCATGGAGCTCACTCTGCACAGACATGATTAATCTCATGCATATATTCCTCCAAACATTTTTTCCCTAGTTTCCCTGCTAGAGTATACGTCATTAAATTTAAAATTACAAAACCTAGATCTGATGCTATGCTCAGAAAAAAAGGGCAGTTAAAATATTCTTTTGGTTTCAAGAAAATAGGTTCATCTCATTGACTTCAGTTGGCATTGAGAGATTATATTAGCTACTCAGAGAAATGATAGTTATGCTTCTTCTTTTTTCCATATCTGGTAAGTAGTTTAAAATAAAAACATTTACCTTGAAGGTTAATATATCCATAACCTTCTCATAATAGGGCAATGCTTCCGTCAGTTTTCCCGCATTCATTAACAAGTCACCATCCTTCAATGCCTATAAATATTATGTAAAATTTAGAAATTATATTATGCTGGGATTACTAGGCAACAGGTAAACAACAAAAGAAGAGGATTAAATTAGGAAGAACACCCTAAAGAAATTCAATGAAGCATTTGGAAGTTAAGAATATCCTAGCTAATTCTCATTCTCATCACATTTTCTCTAGCTCTTCTCCCAGCCCCAATCTGTCAATCAGAATCAATGTTCTGAACTGGAAGCTTTATTGCTATAACCAATTAAGAGTGAACACATTAACCATTAATACAGAATTAGGGGAATTGAAGTTCAATTAAGAATCCAAGACTATTAGTGTATCCATCAAGTTTAAGGATACATCAATTCAAACCCAAAAGACACATATATTTCCAAATTGGCAATTTGAAATTGCTCGATCTGATATGGCCAAAGGAATAAAAATCTGTTTTCTTAAAAGCATCAGTTTTAAAATTATTACTCTTTTAGTTTTCTGATAAATATAATTGCTTTGACTTGAACATCGTTAAAATTTTGTCAATTTTCATGAACACTTAACGCATTTTGAGCATTTTCGGAAGAATAGAGAAGTTGAATGTATCAATCTATCATATTCTAAGGAACCAAGTCTATGCCTTCACTTCAATAAGCCAAGAAACATTAGCAGCTTGAGTCATTAAGTTTTTTTTTTTTTTATCTATCGGCCATTGCTAGCAATTAATGATACTTAACTATCAATAACTATGAAATAAAAAATACCCAAAGATATTCATACAAATATTACCAAAAAGGAAACTCATGCTTAAAAGAAGAAAAGAATGGCAGTAATATATGGGTTACCACTAGATATTCTCACCTCCTCGCCCTCATATTTTAGCTTTGGATCAATATTTAATCCAATTTCCTCCTTGTAGGCAGCAAGTAGCTGCTTTGTGCGTGCTTCTTTAAGAGCTTTTTCTTCTTCAGTCTCTAGAACCTCTCCAGGACGTATAACTCTTCCACCACCAAACTGAAAATGCCAAAAAGTAAAAAACAGGGGTAAATGAGAAAGAAGAAAAATCATGAACAAGTAGACTAAGTTGGTTTATTTGGCAAATACAAAATACCATACTGTTTTTGAAATATTGCTAGGTCTGGGAAAGACACCCCATGTAGAAACTTTAGGCTTGTAAAATTCTGACTCATCTTCCTTAGTCTGTTCAGGTTTCGGAGCTGTTGCAGCATCAAACATGCTTGTGTCTCCAACAATAAGCTCCACCTCAGGTAAGTCACCATCAGAGAAAGAGTCCGAAAGAGGAACAAGTCCAGGTGGCAATCCCCTAGTCATCTTCTTATCCGCAAAGTCAAGCCCCACAAAATCAATCTTTGAAACCGATAATTTTCCCTTCTTACCAACACTATTATTGTCCATAACATCTTTTTCTGAAGTCCTCTCACTCCCTCCTGGGGATCCTAAAAATGAATTCAGATACCCATTTTAGCACGAACTGCGTATTAAAAAACACATACCTTTTTCATTATATATTACTTAACAAACATAAATGCAAGTTCAAATTTGTAATCAGCTTAGACATTCAAGTGAAATCAAAGATATCAACTAACACCCCATCAGACAAGACTCTTTTGTGTTTAGTTTTCAACTTTTTTATTTAATATAATGGAAGTAGCAAGTGGCAAGAATCGAACTTTAGATAATGTTAGGGGCACTAATATCACATTTAATGAACTAACGTCAATTGTTTTATATCCAATAACTGTTACCTTGAGTCGTTTCACTAACGGCAACCCCTTTATTCTTCTTGTACTTTTTTGCCTTCTCCATAGCAATCTTCACAGAGAGTGGCAAATCCTTTTGTCCCTCATCAACAAACTTCACCTGTTTAACCGAATTCTCATCTTCAGCATCCCCTTCCTCAATTCCCAAACTGGAGTTCGATTTTATAGATTCCTTATACGCATTTGCCTTCCTAAACGCGAGCTTCACGGGATCAATAGGATCCGCTTGAGCTTCGGATGCAGCTTCGGGCGAGTTTGGGGATGTGGGTTCAGAAGATTCAGCATTGTCAGGGCTCACAGCACAAGGAAGCTTCAAAGGCTTAAACGATGTTGAAGGCAAAGGCATGCCCACATTTGTGGAGTAAAAAATTGAGGGTTTTGAAGGGGATATAATGCTCATCAAAGAGAACCACAAAGGTTGCAAAGAAGCCATTAAAGAAAATAATCACCAAGCTTGTAACTTTGTTCTTATTAGATAAGGCAATTGAGTAAAGTGACGTTGGCCTCTGCTTCATTCGTTTCCAATTCTGTTCCTGCAATGGGCTTTTTCTTATTGGGCCTGAATACTAAATCTTATTGACCCAATAGGGTTTTTATTCAAAACAAAATAATTGAAAATAGACTAGGGTTTTTCAGGCTTGTTGATATAAAAAGGATTCCTTATCTTCTCGCATTTTTTAGGTCTTCTTAGTGAGGGTTACCCTGTGTTCCAAATCACTGAGCTTAAATAAGCTTCTCAAAGGTACCTTCTTAACTACTCTGCTATTTCACCTCGCCAATTTTTCATTTCCCTTTCGTTGTACCTTGTTACAGGTTTATGTTAATTCTTAGTGTCATCGGTTTTCCGACCATCGGGGTTTACCTTCGTGTAGTGCTTATGTCATGATTTTGAGTTGTGTTTGATGTTACCCCAAAATGGCCCTTGTTTTTCCGGATTAATTAAAAGTTTTTTTTTCTGGGATTTTGGAAATGATCGATTTTTCATCAATTTGGTTCTTGGGTTTCTGTTTGTCCGAATCATACTTTTTCTAATTGCAAAGTGAACCTTGGTGAAAAGTATTGGAGATAGAATTATAATTGTTGCTTTGGATTATTTTCTTATGTAAAAGTGAATTGTTGATGTGATGAGCGTTGTGAGTTACTGATTCAACTGAAGGGTTATAATGTGTCGCACTGAGTATTTTCAGTTAAGGGTGGTAGCGGGTATATTGTCTCCGAGGATGAACAAATCGAAAACACTTTCGTTCTTCTGAGTTGTTTCCATGCTGAAAAATTTTGGAGACCTGAACTGAGGAGGCTGTATGCTTGTTCGTGTATTCTATATGAGATGACTTTGTCATTGTTTCTTCAGATTGTATGCTGTGGTTTTTTATGCCGAGCGCATCTAGTATTGTTGCACCATGTAAGGGGGGATAAACAAAACGTAAAATTGTAATGAAAAAAATAAAAAATAGTAAAAAATCAAAAGTGCTTGGAATTTTGATGTGCATGATGTAAGATGTTGTAGTTATGTTTTCTGGAATATGGGTTTAGGGCAGCATGCATGTACGAGCTGAATTGGGCTTTATTTAAATTGGATTTGTCAACCTGATATGATATGTGCTTTAGTTGAATTCACACTGCGCCCTGCCTGAGAGTTGAGTCAAGAAATGTTTGTTCCTGTTTTGATGGGTAGTACAACATCTTTTAAAATCTTATTGTTTGGTTTAAATATGGAAATAGGAAAAATCTACTTTAAACTTCTCTGTTATGAATTTGGATGTCATATAAGTTTTTGTCGTCCATTCTGAAAGTAAAATGTCTTCTGCTGTGCTGTTGGAATTTGTGTCGTGTACATTTGCATTATATAATGTAGCCTGTTTATACTTTTTTCATAGCATGTAAATGCATTTTAATAATTATAAATTTATAATTGAGTTTGGTGATCGATCTTTTTTGTTTTAAATTATTCTCTTTAGTTTTTTTACAATTCATTTTTGCATCTTAATCTACCCCTTGTTTCTTGGGATGAATTTGTTATTTTCTTTGCCTTTACCTAGATGAATCGGGAAAAGTTGATGAAGATGGCCGGTTCAGTTCGAACCGGTGGAAAGGGTACCGTCAGAAGGTATATTTTATTATTTTATCTATGAAACTCATATTTTTTTCCATTCTAATGAAATCAGTTTTCTTAGTAAGGGCAATATTAGATTTTAACATGTTTCGATGGATGTAACATGAGCTGTATATTGACATGAATTCTTGAGCTTATTTTTGTGTTTTTTTCCCTCCTTAGTACACCCATATATTGAGGGCGTACAACCAACACTTTGGCTATTTCTTTCTCTCTCTTTTTCTTTTGAATTAAACATTATTGATTCTGCTGTTGGTGTGTCCTTTGCCTCAAGAATATTTCTTTGACACAGAATGCATCCGTTGAGTTGAATGCTCTCTTGTTGTTTTGCCTTCTGTTTATTTTAGAAAGAAGAAGGCTGTCCACAAGACAACCACCACAGATGACAAAAGGCTTCAGAGTACCCTGAAGAGAATAGGGGTGAATGCTATCCCTGCAATTGAGGAGGTCAACATCTTTAAGGATGATGTAGTTATCCAGTTTCTAAACCCCAAAGGTAATTTGAGTTCATAATATCTGGAACATTTATATTTTTGATATTATAGGCTATATATTTTGTTTTAAGTATAAAGTTTACTGACTGTGAAGTTGGATTTTTTTTTTTTTTTACCTTTCCAGTTCAAGCATCCATTGCTGCTAATACTTGGGTTGTTAGTGGTTCTCCGCAAACAAAGAGTAAGCAGCCATGTCTTTTTCCTTCATTTTCGAGTGCCATATTATTAAATTGACCTTGGGTCAGTTGCTATAGTGTATCCTATGAGAGAGCTTTGCCAACTTATTTATACATGTCGCAAAAGAGTGTGTAAAAATGATAACTTTTGCTGCGTTAATCTTCAAGCGTTCCTTTAACGACATGAGCACCTTTTGTTTAATCTGTGTCACATTGGAATATTTGGGCTTTTCTTACTTGGAGTATATCAGACTCACTGTAATGTGATGTTTGATTTTTTACTGATCTATGACTGGATTTGGCATTAAAAATTGACATATTTTCCCGTTTTACAGAGTTGCAAGATATACTCCCTAGCATTATCCACCAATTAGGTATGCGAGTTGGATTTTCTCATAGTTGTGTTTGGTGTTTCTTGTTCCTCCCAACTTAACATGTTGGTCATTGAAATGCAGGACCAGATAACTTGGAAAACTTGAAGAAATTAGCCGAGCAGTTCCAGAAGCAGGCTCCTGAATCAGGTGCTGGTGCAACCTCAGCACAAGAGGAGAATGATGATGACGTCCCAGAGCTTGTTCCAGGGGAGACTTTTGAGACAGCTGCTGAGGAGACCCAGGCTTCGTAGAGTGCTATTGTGCCATGTCATATATCTCCTTCTCCTGTGTTTTCAAATTTTTTCTTGATTTTCAACTTTTAAGTATTTCAGGTGTTCAGTTCTCCTGTCATATACTTTAAAACAGTTCGAATACTCTTTTTAATTGAATCTGCTTTCCTTCATCCAACTCGAAGCATTTTACTACTTGTCTGCCCCTGACTCTACCTAACTCTTAGTTCATCACCATTGACCTATAAGTTGCACGTGGCTTGGCCTTGTCCTTATCCAGTTCCATATTAACCCGGCATGTTGTGACAATAAAACCATATAAGTTCATCATAAATCGTCGAGAAATATAACGATAGTTGTTGATTAAGGTTTTCATATCAATTTAGTAAGAGAAAACTTCAAAAATTCCCCTATAAATTTTTTCTAGTATCACTTATTCTCCTCTTGTAAATTTTTTGAATCATTTGTATTTTTATTTAATTTTTTTTATCACTTATTCTCATGACTTAAAGTTTTTTATTACTTATCCTTCTAAATGAGGGAGATAAATGATAAAAAAAATTTAAGTGAAGAGGGTAAATAATTCAAAATTTTGGAAAGGAAATAAATGATTATAAGAGAAGTTATAAGGGATTTTTTGAAGTTTTCCGGAGTGGCATGAGATGTAAGGACATTGCGATCCTAATGGAGGAGGATTGATAGGGTTAGAAATGGACGCACATTCATCTGTTTTGGGCAATGCTAAATCTGTTCTGAAGACGGAGAATGTGCTTCCGAACTATTATGATTAACGTGCCGCACTATCTGTGATCAGGTCAAATTTTTACAAATGGGTCGATCATGTGATCTTTCTTGATGTACCTTAGTGTTGATACATGTATTTATAGTAGAGTGATGTGTGCTTGAAAGATGCCTTTCTTCATGGTGAAGGCAAAGGTTCCTTAGTGCCAAAGTAGTATGACTGTCCTGATTAAATGTTGAGGAGCTTGCTGTCATGGTGTCTTTAAGGTTGATGAGCTTGCTGGTTGTCATGAGTTTGCTGCTATAGAGGTGTCTTTGCTGTCACAAATATTGTGCAGCTTGGAGAAGTGAGTTGTGCAGCCTTCATTGACTATGAGCTTTCTTAATAATAAAGGCTTTTAGTTTGAACCTTGTATTTGTATAATATTTATTCAGGTGAGTTTGGAATAAGAATAAACTGAGGAACTGCTGCACAACTTTACTCATTACTATATGGCAGCTGTATAAACAACTGAACTAAAATTTAACAATAAACGAAATTCTCGGTAAATACTCATTCAGAGGCGGTGACATGAACTTTAGAGATGGTTCTTTATTCATTAAAAACAACAAGTTCTCTATGAAAGGTTCTCATCTATTCCTAAATACTGAAATCTATTTGTGTTACTATCTAACAAGTTTATCTATTTCTTGAGAATCCTTGAAAAAATACATTGTTATATCCTTGAAGGATAACTTTCAACCATCATCTGCTTAGCCCAGATTTCCTAAGCTGATTATTATAGAACAATTCTTCGTTTAATCGGTATAATATGGTTAACCATCCAATAAATTGTTTTAACTAATTGTTTTTCAACTAACTAACATGCATTTTTTAACATCCCTCCTTCAAATTCATGGTTAATCTACCATTACATGATAAAATAGAATTTTCAAAGTGAGATGGTATCTTATTATTCTGTCTTGGTTGTTAAGAAACGTGGCTTTACCATTTTTTATTTTTCCTGAAAAAAAATTAAATTATTAATTATTTTCCAATTTTATTTTGAAACAAACTTTATTTTCATTCCTTGTGGTTATTTTATTTATCAACTAAGTTTAATGGTTTCCACTTTCCAACTTATCACTTAAATCCATTATGATTTCAAAGCATATAATTTCATTTCGTGAATGCCAAAATATCTTTATTATATAAAATGTTTAAAATATCCATAATAATTAAAGCAATAAATTATACCAAAATGTAAAAAAAAAAACAATTAGTTAAAAATAAAATCCTAAAATATTATATAAAACAGATATGATCTTATCTTTAATAATAACAAATTAAGTGAACTATGCATTATAAATCTGTGAAAAAAGCAACATAAGTTAGAATGGTCATGTAATTAATAAATCAATTCATATTAATTATTGAAAGAGCTATAAAACCCAGATCAAACATATGTTTGGAATTTCAACATAACAATCAAATTAAAACAATCTGATAGGATACCAAAAAAAAATATTAAAACAATCTGATAATTCATATAAATCAAACTCGTTTTCAATATTTATTAAACAAACAAAATAAATAAATAAATTATTACTATTAAAAAAAGAAAATATTGTAGAATTCTAATCAATAATAACTATTTTTACAATAAAATAAAAGTTTTATTCACATCGAGTTTTAACTTAGAACATAATAATATATATTTACAACATTTTACTGTTAAATTATCTTAAGATTTTATCATTTTAATTTATCAAATATCCTTATATTATTTCCCTTTCAAAAAAATTCATATGTATTATATTATTTAACTTACTTTCTAAATAATAGATTATGTGAATATTAATTTTTTTTTCAATATTATGACATAAAAAATATTTACACTATTATTAATTTTTTAAAATTATTCAATTTTTTTTTTTTTGAAATATTCAAATGATTAAATATATTAATATTTTGGTTTTATGTTTATGAAATAAGATTAATAACAATTAAATATAATATTTTTATATTTAAATATTTTAGTAGTATGTTGATTAAAAAATTGGCCGATATTATAATTTCATATGTGACGTGTATTTTTCATATTTTGCAATTAAATAATATATATATATATATATATATATTTTATTTGGCATATATTACTTTGTACTCATTGATGATATACAAAATATGATTTATTGAATTTTTTTGTTAAATAGGATACACTTAATTTTAATAATTAGATATTTTGTTTAAAAACTTGTTTTAAATCCATTATTTGTCAAAATCATAAAAAAAATTGGATTTGAATTTTTTTATTGATTGGAAAGAAATGAATAATACCTTGAAAGTGGCAAAATTTATTCTTATAAAAAATTCATATACTAAAGGAAAAACTCAAGCATGTTATTTGAGATTTTTACATAATACCCATCATTTCATTCTTTTATAAATGAATTATTTTTTAATACTGAATTTATATAATATTTTAATTTTTAATTAAGGGTATTTTTAACATTAAATTTAATTTAATGTTTCGTTTATTAAGAATATTTTTAAGTTTTATGTAATAAGAGCATTTTTGACATTCAATTAGTTGAATGATATAGGTTATAATCACAATAGTTTTTAAGTGATAAATTTAAAACCATACCGAGTTAAGTAATACACATTAATAAAATCACAAGGGATAAAAATGAAGTTTCCTTTATTTTTTAAGTTAAAATTTATTCTCTCTTTTAAAATCTCAACTGTTTTTATTCTTAAAATATTTTTTTAATTTTATTTTCATGTTAAAGTTTATTTTCTTTTCCGAATTTCAACTATTTATATCATCAAATTAATTTCTTCTTTCATTTTTTACATTAAAACTATATTCTTTCTTCCTAAATTTTAATTGTTCCACTCCTACGTATTAAATTAGAATAAACTATCTTCAGAGTGGATTTTTTAATCTAATTTCTCTTTAAAAGTGAAACATATCATTCTAAACTTTTCTTTTAAATTAGTTATACATATTTTCGTTATTAATCTATATTTATTTATATTCTACCTGAATTAATTATTTACACATATTTTATAATTTTAATATTTTGTAAATATATTTTATTTTATACTTTTAAAATTTTACCTAAATTTAAAATGATACTTTCTAGTTATAGATAAATTATCAATTAAATAAGGTTATCGAATGATTTACTATATGTACGCCAATAAGTAAAAGTTGAAATATGAGCACTTCTATAGGGGCGCAAATAAGTTGGTTTTTTGACCTTTTTACCTTTCACTAATTAAGTAATAACTATTTTGTCCCTTATTCAAAACTATCCACCAATCTGTCCCTCTTTAATCGATTAACTTGAATATTTAATCGATTAAATGGTCAAAACAGGCAAAAATGATTGACTCGAGATTTAATCGATTAAATCTTCCTCTTTAATCGATTAACTTGAATATTTAATCGATTAAAACTTATATTTAATCGATTAAATATCCCAAATGAGCGTGAAAGCATTGATTGAATGAAACAAACAAGGGAAACTCGTTGGTTCACTGCGTAGCGAGAACCAATCTTGATTCATTAACGCATTTGAGTTGTTCCTGAATCCAAATTTTCACATAATACTCGCCAAGTGACCTTTGGCTCCCAACTCAGACATGTCCCTAGTTTAAGAACATCCTGAACTATGATTGATTCACCTTTAATCCAATGCTGTTGGAAGAGAAATAGCTTTTCTTCTGACAAGTCACTTGACACTGGACAATATATGTTATTATCATTCGTGTCATCTCTAAAAGCAGCTCTTATAATAGATTTGCTGCTTAATATTGCTTCTTTTTGAAGAGTTTTGTGCTCAACTTTATAAAAATCCTTCAGCATGTCACGAGTTTGGCTTTCAACTTAGAAATCCATCCATTTGGAAGTATGGACTTCAGCTCCAACACATAGTCACCACAACCCTTCATTTCTTTTGGAGCACGTCTAATACTTTCATCAATGTTAACATTCCAATCAGTATATATCTCAATAGTACCCTCTGAAGTCCCTAAATCACAATATACTGGTTGAGGATGACCACCATGCATGTACTCACTGCCCTTATTAACATATTCAAACTTCAGTTCAGGCCGGGGTGAAATACTTCCATTTCGTATTTCTTCACAGCAAGTAAGACAGATTTCAAACGAACACTTGGGGCAGCCAAAACTTAATCATTATAGTAAACTAAACCTTAATCATCCCCTTTGAACGTAGCGAGTTTTCCTTGTTTGTCTCATTCAATCAATGCTTCCACGTTCATTTGGGATATTTAATCGATTAAATATAAGTTTTAATCGATTAAATATTCAAGTTAATCGATTAAAGAGAGAGATTTAATCGATTAAATCTCGAGTCAATCATTTTTGCCTATTTTGACCATTTAATTGGTTAAATATTCAAGCTAATCGATTAAA